GAACTCCGGACACCCCTAGCGGCGACCGCCCCCATCGCCGGGTCCCACAGGTGAGCTCTAGGCAGGCCGCGGGGCGGAGCCCGCCGTCGCCACCGGCCACCAGCCCGACGCCGCCACCACCGCGCAGGTAACTCCCAGCCCCGGCCTCTCCCGCGCCTCTCGGACCCCTAGAGCCTCCGCGCCCCCAGCCCCGGGCGCGCCGATGGCGCCTTTGTTCCCCACCCCGATGGCGCCGGCGCCCGCCCCTGGGTAGAGTCCGATCCCGGCCTGGAGCCGGCGCGACCCTGCAGTCGGCGGGGGCCAAGGCGCCGCCCAGCCTGTGCCCGTCGGCGCCCGCCTGTGGGCGCTTAGCGCCCCGTATCGCCGTGTTCGCGCCCGCGCCGCCGCGCTCCGGCCTCTCGGTCCGTTTGTCCTAGCTCTCGGGGCCCGGGCGCCCCGAGATCACGCTAGCGGAAGTGGAGCCCCGCGCAGAGGGCCGTCCCTTCCCCCGGTCCCGGCACACTTGCCACAACAGCCCTTGCTTACCCCAGACCTAGCTGTTTGTGGCGTATGGCGCCGAACTGCACTACTGCCACCAAATCGCTTTTTGGGGGCATTGTTTTAAAAAACGGATGTACCATATATCCGCAGTAAAAATGTGCATTTTGAGTGTGCAGATCAATGAGGCTTTGATAAAGTCTACAGCCATGTCATCATTCCCCCACACCCCCCCGCCGTCCCCAGCGTGGTCATAGAATGTTTAAATCATCCCAGAAACTTCCCTCGCGCCTCCTTTGCATTCAACCCCCCTTCTTATTCCCGCCCACCATTGTGATTTCGGTCGTAGTGTAGTTTGGCCTGCTTTAGAACTTCATGAAAATGAGATTATTCAGTAGGTACTCTTTTGTGTTTGACTAAAAAAAGTACTTTTCATCATTGAGAAGATTGTCTTGGTGTGCAGCTGTTTTCAGTTGCCCTAGGTCTGAGCTGGCCACTGTGGCCACCCATCGTCTTCCCGTGCTCTGTGCGGAAGCGTGGCCTGTCTGAACTGAGATGTCCAGTAAGGATTCTTAGTACTGAAGAAGACTTCATACTGACAAGAATGTTAAAACATTGCATTAGTGAATTTTTATATTGAGTATACGCCCAGCTGAATATTTTGAATATATTGGGCTAAGTAATACATTATTGAAATCAATTTCACTTTTTCTCTTCAATGTTTATTGTGACTACTAGAAGATTTAAAACAACACATGTGGCTCACATATGTGAATTGGACAGTTCCTGTTTGATAAACAATTGGTTCTGCTTACTCCTAATTGGGAGTCCTGGTGTGGTACTGGTCCCTAAGATCGTTTGAACTGTAAGTCGGCGGTTCAAACTCACCAGCCACTCCTTGGAAATCCTGTACAGGATGACTACGAGACTGATCGACGGCACTTAACAGCAACTTCTAATTGAGTACAGGAATAGCTTCAGCCTTTAACAGGAGAAACCATTCCCGCCTTGCCGGAGGGCATCCAAAACAGAGTATTACTTCTGCAGCTTTTAAACTTTGTTTCACACACTTGTTTGCTGAAAAGAGGTAGAAAGGGCTAGGCGTGGCTTGGCAAAAGTCATGTTTTCAAGAAGGACTTTCTAAAAGTGCTTAAAAAAGGTTTCTGTTGTGTGTTAAGAACTGAAAGCGGATCATTGCCTACAACCCAACTGCCTCAATATATTAAAAATAAACATTTTGATGTACTTTTGACTAGTCATAATTAAACATAGTTGAGATACCGGTAATACAATATTCAATTTCATAGCATGCTTTTTTTTTTTTTTTTTAATAGAACGTGCTATATGAAAGATGCTTAGACTTTGCAACAGCTGCATAATATGACTTCACATGAGTGTACTAGTGTTTTCTTGACCATATATATCTTTATGGTAGTTTTCCATTTCATTAACTTTGTGCAAATGGAAGTCTAAATTAGCAGTGCAACATTTCCAGAATAAGGTAAAATTAGCACACTGTTTACTTTCCCTTTAATCTGATAGGAAATGTGAAGTTCAAGAAGGTAGGGAGAGTGTCTTTTTTTTTTTTTTTTTTTAAAGTCCTGGGGTGGCACTGTAGGATAAGTACACTGCCTCTTCAAATTTACCAGCCACTCCTCGGAAACCCTATACAGGGTCGCTATGAGTCAGAACTATCTCAATGGCACTTAACAACATGTCCCCAGAGAAGTCCTGAAATGGTGCTGTCGAATGAGCACTGGACCCCGAAGTCAGTTTAATGCACCAGACTGCAAAGCAGTTTGAACTGCAAGGCCAGTGGTTCAAGCTCACCAGCCGCACCTCGGAAACCCTATACAAGGTCGCTATGAGTTGGAACCAATTGGATGGCACCTATTGGCAGTGGCCCCAGGATCTGGGAACATGTCAAGCACTGATAAATCTCTCCCCTCTCCCCCCCATACACATAAACCCATTGCCTTCTTAGTTGATTCGGACTCATGGCAACGCCATGTGTTTCCGAGTCTAACTGCTCTCTAGGGGTTTCTTGGCTCTCATCTTTACGGAAGTACATCGCCAGGCCTTTGTTCTGCAGTGGCACTGGGTGGCTTTATGCCACCAATCTTTTAGGTTTAGTAGTTGAGGGCAACCCACTTGTATCAACCAAGGATTGTTTGAATGTTAAAAAGTCTTAACTTCCATTCAACATGCAAATCATAAGTGCTCAGAACACCACAAATCTATCACCTAACTTTTTTTTTCTTCAAAAATAATAATGAAGTGGACTATTTTTGTTTTCAAATATTCCTTTAGTAATGTAAAGGAGTTCTGGTTGCGCAGTGGGTTAAACATTGGGTTGCTAACCACAAGGTCAGCGATTCAAAGCCACCAGCCACTCTGCAGCCACTCTGAGGGAGAAAGATGAGGCTCACAGCTTTGGAAACCCTATAGGGCAGTTCTGGGAGTCCTGGTGTGGTGCCATTGGATAAGCACTTGACTGCAAGGAAGGTTTGAACTGCAAACCTTGAACCTTGGTGGTTCAAACTCATCAACCACCCTTCGGAAAACCTTTTCAGGGTTGCTATGAGTCAGAACGGAATTGAGGGTACTTCACAACAACGTTCTGTCCTATAGGGGCACTGTGAGTTGGAATTGATTCAGTGGCGGTGGTTTTTTTTGGTTTGTATGCCATTCTCCATACCAGGGATCAGACGCCTGGTGTGGAGGATCGGCACTGGACTACAAACCACAAAGTCAGCAGTTCAAACCCACCAGCTGCTCCTTGGAAACCCTATATAGGATGGCTGTGAGTTGGAACCGACTTGACATTTTCAGTGAAAGGTCAGATAGGAATTATGAGGGTGCTTCAAAAAGGTCGTGAAAAAATGGAATGATAAGATAATGGAATTTTTCCATGAACTTTTTGAAGCCCCCTCGTATTTAAGGCTTTAAGGATCAGATAGATGTTCTTTGTCACAACTACTGAACCCTGCTACTTGCCATTAGAGCATGCAAGATATAATGCATATTCGAATGGGTGTGGCTGGGTTCCAATAGAACACTGAATTGAAATTTCATACAAATTTCACATGCCAGGAAATCGTATTTTTTACATAATTTTTTCAATCACTTAAAAATTTTTCCACTTGGGAACAATGCAAAAACACAGTGTGTGCCACTTGTCCTCTGTGGGCTGGGCTTTGCTGTCTCCTGATCCATAGCTCAGAGAGCCCGGGTGGCACAGTGGTTAAAGCACTGAACTGCTAACCTCCTAGCTGCTCTGCAGGGGAAAGATGTGGCAGTTGGCTTCTGTTCAGATTGACTGATCTGGAAACCCTAATGGGCTGTTCTATTCTGTCCTGTCGAATTGCTATGAGTTGGAATCTACTCAATGGCAAGTGGGTTTGGTTTGGCTTGATCTCTGTCTCGGCTCACTTAATCCTCACAACCACATATGAGACTGATATTCTTATTCCATGTTACAGATAAAGAAACAGGCTTAGAAAGGCTTGTTACCGATCTGTCTTGACTCTCAAGCTGGAACCTATAAACAATATACCATGCCTCTGAATCCCAGAGAAATGCGATTTCTGATGATGATGATTGGTCATACAACACCATTATTATACATGGAAGACTAGGCTGAAAGAGCCAGTCGCTCGGCTTGCAGAAAGTATTGCTTTCTACCTATCAACACAATTTTAAAACCTAGAAGAGTTTGTCTCAAAAGTCTCAAGTTTTTGTTTTGAGAGAAAAATGGTGTGCGCATTAGAAATTCTCGTGTAATGCTCTCTCTGCTTTCCTGGTGTAATACTTACGGCTCCGTGTTACCTTGCGCTGGTTTTGCTTTTCGCACTTGGTTTGAGAAAATGTTGCCTTTGCTTGACCTTTTACTTTCTTGCCTTTCAGATTTGATCTGGGTGCTGGCACCCAGCCACTCTTCTGCCAATGAAGTACATTCTAGTTACTGGTGGGGTCATCTCAGGCATTGGGAAAGGGATTATTACTAGCAGCATCGGGATGATTCTGAAGTCATCTGGACTCCGAGTTACTGCCATCAAAATCGACCCGTATCTCAACATTGATGCTGGCACTTTTTCACCTTTTGAACACGGTACGAAGGAGCATTCCTTTCCCCCCTCCCCCTTTCTAAAGTACTAGTTACATGGCTGCTGGGTCTTGTTTGTTTTTGCATTTGGAGGGATTTCTTTAGGATAGAGTTCCTGAAGGATCATGTGTTGTAAATAGGTGATTGCTGATGATGTTGCAAATGAGTCAGCTCTTTTGTAAAACTGTGAAAATAGACTTGTTTGTTGTACCTTTAGAATATGGATTATCTTAAAAAGAACTTTTTTAAAATTGAGGAACAAATAGAATAAAACAACAAAATAAATACATATATTTGTCATTTCAACATTTTTTTATATGTTCAACTTTACATTGTCTTTTTTTATTCTAGGTGAAGTGTTTGTCTTAAATGATGGTGGAGAAGTTGATTTAGACCTGGGGAATTATGAAAGGTTCTTGGATGTTAACCTTTGTAGGGACAACAACATCACCACTGGGAAAATATATCATCATGTGATCAATAAAGAGAGACGGGGTGATTACCTGGGCAAAACAGTACAAGGTATTCTAGCTCGCAACCATTTATGGTACCTTAGGGGCCAAGCACCCACAGCCTACCCTAAACAGATGGGAAAGTGACATGGTTCCTACACTTGAAAGTTTCCTGGGGTCTTTTTTCTCCCCCCGACCCCAGTATAATTTTTTTCCCCCTTTATCCATATATGTATGGTGGCAGGAGTGGTTGGGGTTTAAAAAAATCATGGAAAAATTCCATTAGCTTTTAATTTCACTTTTGCACAAGCTTTCTGAAGCCATTTGATACCTGTAATACCTGTCGTTTTTTTTTAAAAAAAGTTTTATTGTAGACTATCCATGGAGAACTGATGTTTTTTCCCCCCGAAAATGTTTACTTGTTTGTGGTACAGGTGATTGTTGGGGGTTTTGCCTACCTTTTATTCAACATCTCCTTCTCTTCCTTGTTTTTGCATCTTTGCCCAGATGGTTATTAATCCTCTTTCAGGGACAGGGCTGGGGAGGCAGAGGCCGACAGCAGCATCGGTGGATTCCTGTTACTTGGCACCCAGCCTTTTCCTTGCTGTTATTTGCCACTGAGTCAGTCCCTGACTCTTGGTGACCCCATGCACAGTGCAAGTGGACCGTAGTGATCCCTGGGGTTTTCATTGGCTAATTTTCAGAAGTAGCTCACCAGGCCTTTCTTAGTCTGGGCGCTGCACTCAAACTTGTTCAGAATCATAGCAACATGCAGCCTCTACTGAGGTGCATTGGCCGGAATCAGACCCGGGTCGCTTGCATGAAAGATGAGAATTCTCCTGTGGAACCGCCATTGTCCCCTCATCCTTTCACTGAGGGGTATGATTTTCTTTGTGGTATGCTGTCTTAGAAGAAACCCCTCTAGAATCCTCTGAAGTCTTGTATATGACAGGCTTGTTGATAGGTGCTCTGACCCTATACAGAACAAGGCATAATCGGCCTGGCACTATCTTCACAATAGTCAGTTGGTGGGTCATCCTCTTTAAATCAGTTTTGAGTTGGAAACAGCTGAGAAGTAGACATAGGAGCCAGACAGATGGCGCTCAGAAGGTCAGCTGTGTCACAGCTGAGGCTGCACAGGGTGACTGAGATCTGCCATTACGCTATACTTTCTGGTAGTTTCCTTCCTAAATGCAGGCCATGGGAAAACCCAGTGGAGGGAGGATTACTGCCTCACACCTGCTATATCCCAATGATGGGGAGAGGGCAAGACCCAAACCTGGCTCTGACTTTGGGCTTCCCAGGTAGAGGTCAGTCCAGCAGAACCCACCCTCTTGGCCATGCACAGAAGCTTATGTCAAATTCAGCCCTAGGACATGACTTTCTTCTACCTCTCAGGAGCAGCAGATACAAGGTGCAGCAGGTCATAGAGGCTCTTTTGAATCAGTTTCCCAGAGGCCAGTGTTTGTACTTCATGTGTGCAGAGTCTCTGTGAGCATGTGGGAATGTCACCTTTTAATCTCTTCAGAAGCCTGGGATCTGCCCATCAGCTGCATGTCCTGCTTAGTCGACTCTTCCCTGCTAGGCGGAGTTATACCCAGATATTCTGCCATTTGGTGGAGCTCAGTACTTGGGGGCCCTGCTCAGGGTTTGCAGGGGGCCATGGTACTTCTTCCTTGGGGAGTCCACGATCTGCAGTCCTCCTTGCAGATTTTGGTTGGTGTTCTAGGTGTTTTCTAGTATCATTGCAATTGCAAATGACCTTTTGGTTTTCTGTGTTTTGTCCTCTGTGACGGCAAACGAAGAGGGAGAGCATAGCATTTAAGTGCCTTAATCTGTTGCATAACTGCACTTTCATTTCAGCGGGGGTAGACGGTGGCAGGGGACTAGAGCTTGCCTGGTTTGCTAGGTGCCTATCAAATTTGGTGGTAAGTCTAGAGTCCTACATTCCTTTCTCATGAGCTTGAACTAAGCATTTGTGTTACTTGGGCTTCTCCCTGCAGTGGTCCCTCACATCACTGATGCCATCCAGGAGTGGGTGATGAACCAAGCCATGGTGCCTGTGGATGAGAACAAGGAGGAGCCCCAGGTCTGCATCATTGAGGCAAGTATGACGTTTTTCTTTATCAGCTGGTGTCTGGTCTCCATTCACTCAGCAGATCCATCCAGATGGCCTCCTGTGTGCTGGGCATTGGGTTAGGAGATGAGGGGACAACAGGGAGCAAGGGTAATGGCCCTTGCCCATGGTCACAGTTCAGAGGGCAAATAATCATAAAGCAGACCATCACCCACGCACTCCTGGTTCCTGCAGTGGAGACCCATCTGTGTCTCATGGAGTCAATGTCAAAGGCATCCTGTGTGCCACATGTACCTGGACACCAACCACCGATGCAGTGATGCTGAGTGAGGGAAGTCAGATGGTATAGGTAATGGGGAGGTGAGAAGCACGTGTTAGGTGATTGGAGAAAGAACTTAGTACTTGAACTTGCCGCTTGTTCACGGCTTTCTTCCCTTTCCCCACATGTGCAAGGTGAGAATCACATCCTGATCCTCCTTGTCTTAATGGTAGTCTGCTTCCTTGCCAGGCAGGAGAGCAGAGTAATGAACAGCTCCCTTCCTAGAGTCAGACTGCAACCCTCGGAGCAGTGTAGAGCTCTGTGGTTCAGAGTCTGGAGCCGGACTGCGGAAGCAAGCTGTGGTGCCTGTGGGTGGGAATGACGTTGGACAAGTTCGCTTCACTTCTCTCTGTCTCAGTTTACTCATCTGCACAGTGGGGACAGCATTACTTTAAGGATCCAATGAGTCAATATTAGTAAAATGCTTAGAGTGGTGTTTAACCATAGTCAAAACCCCACTGCCATCAAGTCGATTCTGATCCATAGTGACCCTTAGGATAGCATAGGACTGCCCTGTGGGGTTTCCAAGGCTGTCAGTCTTTAAGGAAGCAGACGGCCACTTTTTCTCCAGTGGAGCGGCTGGTGGGTTGGAACTAATGCCCTTTCAGTTATCAGCCAAGCATTTAACCACTGTGCCACCAGGACTCTTTGACCAAAAATTATTAGCCATTATCATGATGCAAGTCTGACTTTGGGCATCCGTGTCCTTATCAAATGGTGATATTAAATGTGATGAGGCTTACGTGAGATAATGTCAAGCATGTGGTAGTTCGGCATTTAGGAAGTTCTCAATAAAGATATGTTAGCTGTTAATATTATCATGATCAGTGTTGATAGGTCCATGTTATGTCTTGGAGTGGCTCTGTAGGATAAGCACGGGGCTGCTAGCTGCAAGGTCAGCAGTTTAAACCCACCAGCCGCTCCTTGGAAACCCTATGCAGGGTTGCTATGATCAGAACCGACTCGACAGCACTTAACAACAACAACATTATGCTTCTAGACAGTCCATTTTGTTAATAGTTATTAAATGCCATTGAGTCGGTTCTGACTCATAGTGACTCTGTATAGGGTTTCTGAAGAATGACTGGTGGGTTTGAACTGCTGGCATTGCATTTAACAGTCCAGTGCTGATCCTACAGTGCAAAATTTCATATAAATACGCTATACTATCATATATTAGCATATGTTATACTAATGGTGTGGCGCTATAGGATAAGCACTGGACTTGGCAGTTGAAACCCACTAGCCGCTCCTCAGAAACCCTATCCAGGGTCTTTATGAGTCAGAACCAACTCAGTGGCACCGAACAACAATGACATAATAGTATGGTTGATAAGCTTAATATAAAATGTACAATATAAGTATGCTGTGCAAAATTTTCTTTCCCTTAATACTTAGTTTCTTAGTGCTACTATGTCAGAGATATCACAAGTGGGTGGGTTTAAGAACCGAAATTTACTTTCTCACAGTTTAGGAGGCTAAAAGTCCAAATCTGGATCTTGGCCATGTTGATTCTCTCTTTGTAAGTAGTCACGCAAATTTCTTGGTTCACTGGCTCATAGATGTTCCTTCTATGGCATCTGTCTTCCTGTGTGTGTGTGCCGCTCTTTCTCTAAGTTAGAAAGGATTAGGTCTAGGATCCACTCTTCACTGCTCGGACCTCAACGGATGGACTGATTACATGACATCAGATTGCATTTGGAAGGGGATCTCATTACCTTGTGTTAGATGTCAGGTACTTAATAGATTAGATTACATATGAAGGTCTAAGGGTTAGGATTCTAACACATATTTTGGGAAGGCACAATCCACCTCCTAATAACTAAGGAAAGAGGGAATGCTTCCTTTATATGAGGGGACTTCATAAACTTTGTGGAAAAATGAAACGAAAGATGATGGAATTTTTCCACAAACTATCTGATGCTCTCTCATACATAGATTTTTTTTTTTGATATGACAGAATAGTACACACATTATATATGTACAGCTTGATGAAGCTGTACAAGCAAAATACAACTACCTAACTACCAAAAGACTGAACAATTGCCAAAATATTGAGTCAGTGATAAAGACAAAGGATCTAAGAGAAGAGAAAGACCCGGAGAACTCCGGGAAGACTAGGACATGATCTACGATAGCAGGACAGGTAAACCTGGCGGACACTTTGACTCTGCAGTGAAGGAGACGTACGTGGTCATTGTGCTCATTGAATTTCCGTTTTTAGACTCAGCCCCTGAGCACATCAGAGAAGTCTTGTGAGCAGGGAACCAGATGTAAATGTCATGTAAAGGTCATCAGCTCTGAAAACAGAATGATTTGGGGGGTGGGAGAGGTAGAGGGGAAAGGAGGGAAATGGAGATTCTCATTTCACCCCCCCCCCCAGGCCTCAGTAGAGACCGTCAGTATAGGCAGACCTTGTTTTCGTGTACTTCACAGATGCCATTTTTACATAGTGAAGACTTGTGGCAACGCACCATTTTCCCAACAGCATGTGCTCATATTGTGTGTATCACATTTGGTCATCCTCACATTCTTTCAAACTTTTTCACGATTCTTTTGTTGTTCTTATGTGCTATTGAGTCGGTTCTAGCTCACAGAGACCCTGTGTAAGGTTTCCAAGGAGAGGCTGGTGGGTTTGAGCCACCAACCTTATGGTTAGTAGTCCAATGCTTATCCTAACGTGCCACACCAGGACTCCTTCATAATACTATTGCCCACTTAATAGATCTACATTTTATAGGCACTGGGAAACCTAAGAAGTCGTGTGACTTGCATCGCTGCGATACTCACTTTATTGTGGTAGCCTGGAATTGAACCCACAATATATCCAAGGTCTGCCTGTAGTTGATAGACTAAGAAGGAAAGTAACCGCTAGAGAAAGCAACAATTGTGATTGGGGTTGGAGGAGTCACCAGAGAGCTCAAGTCTTATCTGTCACAGCAGAAGGCCACTTTACCTCTTTGGAGGGTGTCTCCAGTGGATAAACCAACACAGCAGGGTTGGGGAGAAATAGTGAACCTAAAAAGCTTTCTCCTTGGGGATCTGGACTTGGGAGTACAAAGGGACTCTGGCTTTGAATGTAAGCTTTTCCATGCAATTTGATTTTTAACTATGTACATGCATAATTTTGGTGCAAAAAAGCCACTCAAACCTCCCCCCTCCCCCACCACACACGTACCTACTAACGTCCACAAGAAGCGGCTATTTAGCAGTTGCAGTTTCCTAAAGATCAGCCGCAACTTTACTGATCTAGTTAAAGGCTAACCAAGGGCAGGACAAGCCACCATGTCCTGGGTTCATGCTGGTTGTTTGTTGTGCACTAGTGGCAGGCCAAGGAGCCCTGGTAGGCTTAGGAGTTGGGCTGCTAACTCAACAGCAGTTTGGATCTACTAGTCGCTCACTGGGAGAAAGATGAGGCTTTCTGTTCCTTTAAAGATCTGCAGCCACAGAAACCCTCTACAGAGTTGCTGTAAGTTGGAATCAACTCAGTGGGACACTACCACCACCACCACTACCACCACTGTGCAGTTTAACATGGGAACCATTAGCCATATGGGGCTACAGGACATGTGAAATGTGGCCCTTCTAAATTGAGATATGCTGGAAGTGCAAAGTGCATACTGGTCTTCAAAGACTTAGCATGAAAAAAAAACAGGTTAAAATGCATTTTTTATTCAAAAATACTATGTATACATATTAGTGACATTGAAATACTGTTTTGGATATGTTTTTGTAAATGTGGCAACTAAAATCTTTGAAATGACATATCTGGATAGCTCACATTATACTTGTGTTGGACTGTCTACTACTCACACTAGCTCTGTGACTTAGCCATTGCTCTTCTAGCAATGGGAAATTACAAGATCCAGAAAAAAAAAAAAATTGGTCCATAGCCCAAAAGTAATGATTCATTTCCTAAACCTGGAAATGCTTATAACTTTCTCCACCTCCTCCCAATTTTTTCAATTCTCTCTTTTTTTCATTTGTAAGGAAAAAAATAGCCTTTTTCTAAGACTATTAACCTTTCTCGCAAGAAAAGTTCCAAGTGGTCATATGTATGATTATTTTTACCTTTTATTTCTGGTTTTGTTGTTCAGTTGACTTGCTCAGCTTAACAAATATTAATTCAGCTCCTAATATGCGTCAGTACAGGCCATCTAAGCTTGAACTTGAAATAATTTAATCCTGCCTTAAAAAACAACAACACTACAACCAGTTTTGTTGAGTTGATTCCAGCCCTGATGACCCCATGTGTATCAGAGTAGAACTGTGTTCCCTAAGGTTTTCATTGGCTGATTTCTCGGACATAGATCACCAGGCTTTTCTTCTGAGGTGCCTCTGGGTGGACTTGAATTGTCAGCCTTTCAATTGTCAGCCAAACACATGAACTGTTTGCACCATCCAGAAACCCTGTCTTAGGCTCTAAGAAATGATCCCCCAAAGCACCCCCCCCCACCATGTCTCAATAGTCAGAATTGGGTCAGACACCCATTCCTGAAGTAAGCCCAGGCAAGGAGCACGGGTTTCCATGACAGACTCAGAAGAGTAATTTGGGGAGGCACAGGTGCTGGGTCGACAGACAAGATGTCCCCTTTGGAGAGCTATTTGAACCATTCAAGGAGTCCTGGCACGACACTGTAGGATAAGCACTGGACTGTTAGCCACAAGGTTGGCAGTTCAAACCCACCAGTCACTCCTCAGAAACCCTTTAAAAAAAAAATTGCATACAAAACCCCTTCCTTTAAAGGCAGAAGTGACTCTGTCTATCTTGTAATTTGCTGCTGCTTCCATTTAAACTTTGAATAATTCTTACAGTGTTCTTATGGGTGATATTTCTCTTTTGTGTTGGGAAAAGGACTAACTTAGGACTATTCTCATAAGAATGTTGGAAAATTCTGAGTACAATAAACAGAACGGTGGGCTGAAAACCTTCCTGCAGAGGAATTTGCACATTGGCAGAGAGGGTGCAGTACCACGGACAGTCAGGCGAGGGCAGAAGCCAATAATGTTGAAAGGTTTTGCAGACTGATTTCCTGCTGACTCCCAGGATACCCTCATCAGAAAACCAGATGTTGCCTGTACCGTTTAGTGGAGTGCAGACCGTTCTTATCCTTAAAACAATGTTTTTTTCATTACATTCTGGTGGATTTTAGTTAGTGAGCCTATATATTCCTCCCCCCAGTTTCCTGATGGTATACCATAGTTTTTTGATTCTTGGATTTTCATTTTTGGATTTGAGTCTTGGATTTCATGAAGTTGGCCATTCTCGTACAAAGCAATCAAGTATTTCTGCCTGTTCCCTACCCACTCCCCAAACCCCAAATTCACTGCCATTGAGTTGATTCGGACTCATAGCAACCTTGTATAGCGTTCCCAAGGCTGTAAATCTTTAAAGGGACAGAAAGCCTCATCGTTCTCCTGTGGAGCAGCTGGTGGATTTGAACTACCGACCTTATGGTTAGCAGTCCAGTGCTTGTCCTACAGCACCACACCAGCATGTTCCCCACTCAGGAAGCTTATATTTAACTTTGTTTTGTTAAGAATAAATTCTTCCTCGGCAATGTAGCCCTGGGGCTGGTTTGGTTCTGTTGGAATGATCAAAACAGGTACTAGAACCCTGCCACCTGGGGGTCAGATACTGAATTTGAGACCTCTCTCTCCTGTCCTGTGTACTGGGCACTGTGCTTGTGCTGGAACATTCCAGGAGTGCTTGTGGCACTCCGTGCCTAGTGAGGTACATAGAAAGGAACGCAGTGCGCACAGATGGGTCTGCCACAGGGAAAATGGGACTGAGACTGCTTTCTCAGGAAGTTGGGGCCAGGCTTTCTGAGGAGAACATGGCTTCCCCTGGCCTGAATGACGAAGAGGAGGCAGATGTATATGAAGAAGGAGGGTAGGAGGGCTGAAGGGCTGGGAAGGAGGAGCTTGGCTCATCTGAGAAGTAGAAAGACTGGTGAGGCCCAGAGAACGCAGGTGATTGGGCACAAGATGGGATTAAGGATCTGTGCAAGGGCAGATCATGTAGGGTCTTTTGTGGAAAGGAATTTAGATTTTATTTTGAGTGAAGCTGTGAGCCAGTGAGGGGTATCATAGGAGAGACATGTTTTGAGTTTTTACAAAGTCAGTCTGCTGGGATAGGACGAGAGTGAGTGGAAGCCGGGAGACCATTTAGACCAGGGGTTAGCACACTCTCTGGAATGGAAATACTTTCAGTTTTGTCCCAACGACTGACTCAACTCTGCTGCTATGTAAATGAGTGGGAGTGGCTGTGTGCCAACAAAACTTCCTTTGCAAAAGCAGGTGATCGGTTTCTTTGCTGTCTCCTGGGTTTAGATTATTGCACTAATCCCTGCGAAAAGATGATACTGGCTTGGTTGTCTTGGGTGGTCACAGTGGAGGTGGAGAGCAGTGGAGGGGTTTGCAAGAGCTTGGGACTGGGTTGGAGGAGGAGAAGCAGGGAATGGAAGATGAGTTCCAGACTTCAGTCTTGAATCTGTGCTGGGAAGAGATGAGGAAGCACCTCAGGGGAACTAAGAGTTAAGTGTGAGTAACTGTTAATCTATCCAAGATAGCAATGACGATTTGACTCTAGAGTTCAATGAAGTTGGGCAGAGGTCAAGATTACAAGTAGATTGCAGATCCCCAAAAGTTGCTGAAACCAGAGGAGACGATGAATTCTGTGACTGGACCCGCCATAATTTCTTCCTCTTTAACATCCAGATCATTCCACTTAGCACTGAAGTTTTACTTTTGATTATTGTTCGTTAGCTGTCTTATTTGTTAAATTCATGTGGTCTTAAATTCTTCCCAGCACCTTGCTTATAGTATTGAACATACAGTAGATGCTTAAATGCTAGAGAATTAATTAAAAAATTCATGAGATAGTCTGGAAATATTTCTATATGGCAAGGGCTGAATGGGTTAAGGTGAACATTATCCTCAAGTCAAATGTGCAAGTAACCTTACTGGAAGCACATTATAAATGAAATGAACATTTATCAAAGGATTACTCTGTCAGGAGTATTCATGTGGCTTTTTGTACTTTTTTTCTGAAAGCCAGCATGTTTTGATAGTGATTTGTTTCAAGTGGTGCCAACGTTGCAAGGAGACTGTTCAAACGCATGTGTGTGTATGTATGTGTCTGTGTGTCGAGAGCAAAAGAATCTTCACTATTCCATGCCTGGCAGGACCAGGTGGCTCTCATCCTTCTCATGTTACCACTAGATTGGGGTTCTACCTTTTAATCAGTACTGACATAGAAATTCACTTCTCTCGCTCCTTTGACCTCTATTCTGGATCTATCTGCTTATGAATCCCCTTCTGTCTCCTTTAAATCGCCATTTACCTCACTTTCTTCTCCTTTCTTGGTACTTTAATTTAATCTCTTACCTGTTCACTTGCCTATATTCCGTGTTATATTCCATCTCTTTTTTTTACAAAAATGATAAAATCACTGTTTAATTTCTGTCTTATTTTTTCTTTTTGTCTCATCTTTTCTATTTAAATATTTTTACAGCTTTATTAAGGTATAATTTACAGACCATGAATTTCACTCATTTTAAGTGTACCATTGAATGGTTTTCAGTGTATTTACAGACTTCAGTTCTTGTGGGCAGCCATCAAACATTAGTTGTTATTTCTCAGCGTATTAAGAATGTTTCGTATTCATCTCTCGACCATAGAAGATGTTCTGATCATTCTTGTCTTTTTTCTCTCCTTCCCATTTCTAGCTGGGTGGCACCATTGGAGACATTGAAGGCATGCCGTATGTGGAAGCATTCAGACAATTCCAGTTTAAGGCCAAGAGAGAGAATTTCTGTAATATCCACGTTAGCCTTGTCCCGCAGGTAGTATACTTGTCCCAGATAAGTATGTGGACAGCAACTGTCTGGGCATGGACCTTCCCCCAAACCCTAAACACACTTCCATAGCGTCAGTTCTGACTCATAGTAGCCTTATGTAGGATTCCAAGGCTATAAATCTTTATAGGAGCAGAACGTCTCATTCTTCTCCTATGTATTTATCCTAGAGTCTCACCAAGGCTCCTCGGGTATGAACCAGTAACTCTAAATTTGCCTCCAAATATGGAGGGGGCTGAGAGACTGAAGAATGAGGCTAGCAGCTCTCGGATTATGGTTTAGGAGCTCATTAAGGGGCTTACTTCCAAGGTGAAGCCTTGAATAGCAGCAAGGCAGACTTGAGTCTCCATGCCTCCCAGTGGGAGGTGGAGGCTTTTATGGCCTTGATAAATAAAGGTGGCTTCATCCAGGTCTCTGGACCTCCAAGGCCACCCTAGCAGGTGTTACACAACAGTGATTTAGCAAGTAGAAGTGAGCTATCAGAAAGCTAGAGCTGAGTCATAGTTGGTCTTGCAAAGCCTGCTTCCCCTAAGGTTTTCCTAGCATATAGATTTAATTCATATTTTAAATTACTAAAAGAAGCCATGAATTAGCCAAAACTAGGTGTTCAGTGATCCAACTCTAATATTTCTTTTTAGCCCAGCAATAGTGGAGAACAAAAAACCAAACCCACACAAAACAGTGTTCGTGCAATGCGATGCCTTGGGCTCTCTCCAGACCTGGTAGGTTAAGGAGCGTTCGTAAGTTTGTCCCTAACATTTCTTGGAATAATTCTTTATAGGACCTTATTTCTTAGTCTATAATATCGAAGTCATTTCTAGCTCTAAAACAATTCCTGTGACATTAGGCTTCTTCTTCCTTTTTTTTAAAAATATCTGGGAGCCAGGGAAGGAGTATTTCCTTATCCTCAAGTATCAATTCACACATTTCTATATTGGCCATTTGGTCTTCTTCAGCCCTTATTTGTTTGGGACCTTGGAGATTTCCTGTAATCTACTAAGATGGGATCTCACTGCTCACAGTGTTAAGTCTAAGTTTTAACCAGCAGGTAACCAAGTTATTTATCTCCATGAGTCTAGATCAGGAGTCGGTCAGCTAGAGCCCACAGGCTGGCTGGATTTTTTTCTTTTCTTTTTCAGTTGTGGCAGAATATATGTAACAAAAAAATCAATTGCTATTTCAACACCATTTTTATGTGTACAAATTCAGTGATGTGAAGTATGTTCACCATATTGTGCGACCATCACTACTATTCATTTACAAAATTTTTCATCACCCTTTCCAGAATGGCTGCTTGTTTTTTGTAAATAAAGTTTTGTTGGAGCACAGCCACACTCATTTGTCTCCGTTTTACCTACAGATACTTTCTCACTTTAACAGTACAATTGAGTAGTCAGGACAGAGACCGAATAGCCCACCAATACTTAAGATATTTCCTGCCTGACAGGAACAATTTGCCAACCCCTGGTCTAATCCTTTTCTTGTATTTAAAGAAGCAGCATTTCTGAGCTTTGACTACTCGCTAGAGCCATCTTGACATTTCAAGTTCTTATTGCCAGCATTGTGTTGAGTTTTGCTGATCAATTTCTTGGTACTTGCAAAGACCAATTTGTACAAGTCCAGAGAAATACCCACAGTGTGCAAGGGCATACTTGGCCAAGTCTCTTAGAGTAAGAAGAAATTAGTGGGCCTCTTGCAAACGAATGGGGGTGTGAACAGCCTGCTTGCTTTTTGCTGACCTGTGCGTACCTGCCTTTGACAGATTATCTGCAGAAGTGCAACACCCATAGATATGGCTGTGAAGGAAAAGATTTCTATGTTTTGTCATGTGAAACCCGAACAGGTTAGTGCTCCTTTTCGAATTATTCTCCTATAAGCACTTGGGCTGATGCCACCATTTTACACCTCTTAAATGAATGGTGAACCCTGCTGTGGTTCTATAAGATAAGCCCTGGACTGGTAACCACAAAGTCGGCAGTTCAAATCCAGCAGCAACTCTCAGAAACCATGTACAGGGTTGCTGTGAGTTGGAATTGGCTAGATGGCACACAACAACAAATTAATGGCACTACTCTGGTAGCGTAGTGGTTACGAATCCGGCTGCAAACCGCAAGGTCAGCAGTTCGAAACTACCAGCTGTTCTGTGGGAGAAAAAGGAGGCTTTCCGCTCCCGTAAAGATTTACAGCCTCGGAAACCCTGTGCAGGGTCACTATGAGTCGGAACCGACTCCATGGCACACAGCAACAACAACAGTAACTCCGGTAGCGTAGTGGTTACGAATCGGGCTGCGAACCTTAAGGTCAGCAGTTCGAAACTACCAGCTGTTCCAGGGGAGAAAGATGAGGCTTTCTGTTCCTGTAAGGATTTGCAGCCTCAGAAACTCTGTACAGGGTCGCTATGAGTCGGAACCGACTCCATGGCACATAACAACAACAACAACAACACTCTCAACAGTATTGGTGAAAGCTTTGGGGGCCAGATCCAAACACGGCTCCCTTTGCCCTTATGGGAATCATCTTGAGACGCTTGGTTCCTTAGCAAGAATGCATGTTTATTTGCATAATCAGTGCTTAAGATGAACCATGTTTCTTTGCATAATTAGCGCTCTTTAACTCACAGGCAGACCTCTAGAGTGGACTACGGGGAGCTACTTTATCAGGTCTTTAGCTTGTCTTTCTGGGACACATAGTGCTTTCGGTGTGATTTCTCCTTTGCACCTGTTACAGTTGAAGTCACCGCAAACAACACATGCACCCTGCCATTCTGACTGTCACGTCTGATTACACCAGCAACCTCTGTTTAGTTAATCACAGCACAAATTGTACCACACTGTGGGTCCAGGTCATCTGTTCGGTTGGACTTTCCACCTGGATAGTCTGAAAGTCATCTTTTCTTTACTCTTCTCCTTCTCTTATCTCTGCCTCTTGTTTGCATTAAGGCCCAGATGGATGATGTTTCAAAAAGGAGTTGTGAGTGGTGCTCGGGAAAAGGCTAATGTTTGGCCAAGACCTTTGCTCTTCAGATGAGATGTGGGTTCTCTGAAGCCTAAAAACCATGTCACCAGGTTCCTGTTTCTCAGGAGGTCTGTGTGATAAAGAGCCTCCTGCTGCAGGCTTCAGAGTCAGTATATAAATCGGAGCTACTTTCAAAGATGGAATGGCAGGCTGCGGGGGGATTTGAGCCATTTTGCTTTTGTTCAGTTTTTTGGGGTATCCTTCGAATTGGTAAATAATACTTGGTGTATTTATTGTTTAGGTTTCCAACGTTCATTTTGTATTATAAGGATGGGAAAGTTCCGAATTCATTCATTTTAAAGAAAATAACATTTTTGGGTTTTGGGTGAAAGTTTACAACAGAGAATTCCAGCGCCCACTTGACAATGTCTACACAAATTGTTCAATGACATCTGTCACACTTTTCACAAGGTGTCAGCATTCTTTTTAATTGAATCTGGTTGTTGCAGATCCAGTACTCTAGTTTCCCTGTCTCCTTATCTTCCTGAGGACATGTCCAAAGAACAAGAGACAAAAGTCTCTCCATCTTTGCTTCTAAGGAGCATTCTGGCTATGTATCTGTCAAGCTAGATTTATTTGTTCTTCTGGCAGTCCATGATACTTTCAGTATTCTTCATCAACACCAGGGTAAGCACTGGATGGCTAGCTGCAAGGTCAGTGGCTCAAACCCACCAGCTACTCCTCGCTAACTGTATGTAAGGTTACTATGAGCCGACTCTGACTTGACAGCGTTTAACAACAAAAACAACAGTTGTTAGTGATCACAAGCATCTCTTCATGTGTTTGTTGGCTGCCTGAAGATCTTACTTGGTGAGGTGTCTGTTCATGTCCTTGGCCCATTATTCACCTGATTTTCATCCAATACAGTTTTAAACACTTTGGATCCATATTGTGGCCAAAGTCTATTGTGTGTGTTGGAGGACAGCGTCTAACTCTCCCAGGATGCCATCTCCAAGCTGCTCATTTTAAAGTCCGATTGTTTGGCCTTTTGCTGTTAAGGTGTGGAGTTTTTCTAGAAATGTTAGAAAGAAGTCAGATATGTCATTGCCATTTTCTTTTTTCCCCCCCGACTCTGTCGGCTCTCTTTTTATCCTTTTGGAGAAGTCTTTTGATGTGCATACAGGTTTAATTTTCAGCAAGTCCCAGTCATCTAATTTATCTCTGCTGTTTGTACATTTTCAGTTCCATTTGATAGGTCTTTATGCCATGAAATAAAGTTTGCCTTTGTTTTTCCTTCCATGATCTTTATAGTTTCAAGTTTTACATTTGATCTATCTTGAATTCGTTTTTCCATACGGCGTGAGGTTTAGCTCCTGTCTCATATTGTTTTACAAACGGATATCCAGTTTTGTCAGCACCATTTATTAAAGAGACTATCTTTAAATGGATTTCAGGCCTTGGTTGAAGATCAGTTGTTCATAGGTGGATGGAGTTGGGTTTTTTGAAAAAACTTTTTATTTCGATTTCTGTGAAAGTTTATAGAACAAATAGATGTTCCTTGCAAAAATGTGTACACATTTTGATTCGTGACATTGATTGCAGTCCCCACAACGTAATAGCACTCTCCCAGGGCCGCCCTGTGTTTGCCATTTCCATGCATCCTTCTTGCCTAACCCTTCGCCTCCTGAGCTTTAGTCCTGGCAAATGCTGACCTTTTGATCTTGTATGATTGATTGTTCTAAGGAGGGCATGCCTCCCTGGGGTTATTGTTCACCTTATATTAAGGCCTGTCTATTGTTTGGCTGAAAGTTGAGGTCGAGGGGTGAGTTCCGTTTCAGGCATGCAGGCTATCTAAGGACCATAGTCTCAGGGGTTCTACCAGTATCTTTTTTTTTCCTTTTCTTTCTGATTGTGACTTTTGTTCCACATTTTCCTTCCACTCTGTTCAGGACCTCCTGTTGTGATTCCTTTTAGAGTGGTTAACAGTGGTAACTTGTCACCATCTAGCTTTTCTGGTAGAAAAATGGATTTAAAGTGTTTTGTAATGAAGTTAAACTATCTTATGTTAAGGGGCAGCAGTGGTTGAATGGCAGAATTCTTGCCGTCTGTGTGAGAGACTAGGCTTTGATTTCTGGCCAAGGCACATCATGTCAGTGGAGGTTTGATGTGGTTCTGTAATTCTGAACAGGTTTCACTGGTCTACCTCTGAAAATCTGCCAATGAAGACTCTATGTATCATCATAGTTCAGTCCACAACTGGTTATGGGGATGACCCAGGATTGGGCAGCATTTCCATCCTGGTGTGTGTGAGGTTTTCATGAAGTTGGGACTGGCCTTGCGACAGCTAACAACAACAACAACCGTGTACTAATTCTGACTCTTGTTTATGTTGCTGGGTTCTTGACTTTCTTGCATCTTCTTAAATAAACTGCAACAGTTTCTCTTGAGTTGTTTCATTTTCAAGCTGATTCAAGTGTATCATTATGTGGCAGATTTGAGTTGGTTCTAGCTCAACAATGTTTTGTCTTCATTTACCAGGTAATATGTATCCATGATGTTTCTTCCGTATACCGAGCACCTATAATTTTGGATGAACAAGGCATTGCTAACTATTTGAAAGAGAGGTTGAACTTGCCTATTGTTGATTCTGCAAGTAATTTGCTTTTCAAGTGGAGAAACCTGGCCGACAGGTATGTGTCAAGGATTACTAATTTATTTTGAATAATTCTTGAGTTTGGGATGGGGTAACGAGTGGTATTAAGATTTACTTATAGTGTAACTACGTCATGGAGTCCTGGTGTGGTGCTGTAGGAGAAGTACTGAACTGCTAACCACAGAATTGATGCCTTTGAATTATGGTGTTGGCAAAGAATATTAACTATATCACGGGCTGCCAGAAGAAAGAAAAATCTGTCTTGGTAGAAGTAGGGCCAGGATGCTCCTTAGGAGCGAGGATGGTAAGACTTAGCCTCACATACTTTGGGCATTTTATCAGGAAGGACCAGTCCTTGGTAAGCACATCATGCTTGGTAAAGTAGAGGGTCAGTGAAAAAGAGGAAAACCCCAGCAAGATGGATTGATACAGTGGCTGCAACCATGGACTCAAACATCCCAACCCTTGTGAGAGTGGCTCAGGACTGCACAGTGTTTCGTTCAGGTGTGCATGGAGTCATGATGGCGCCCAACACCAATACAACAAGAGCAGTGGGGTTGATGATATAATGAGGCTTCTGCTCTCCAGGGTAACCTGAGTAACTTGGGGCTCCTTCCCTTAAAGAACTGTTGTTGTCAAGTGCCGTGGAGTTGGTTCCAACTCACAGCAATCATAGCAACATAGGGTTTCCAAGGAGTGGCTTGTGGGTTTGATCCACCAACTTTGTGGTTAGCAGCCCAGTGCTTACCTTGCAGCGCTATGCCAGGACTCTTCTTATTGGAAATAGCTCTAAACTGTATGCCTCTCTGCTTTTATGAAGTTGAATACACTCATTACAAATGTTTGGACTTCTAATTAATTTCATGTAACTGCCATAACAAATGACTACACACTGGATGGCTGTCAACAACAGAAGTTGATTTGTTCACAGTTCTGGAGGCCGGAAGTCAGAACTCAAGGTGTTGGTAGGGTTGGTTCTCTCTGGGAGGTGGGAGAGAGTCTCGCAGTTTCCAGTGTGGTCCGCAATCTTTGGTGTTCCTTGGCTTGTAGATACATCACACCACTTACTGCTGCTATTTTCCCATTGCCTTCTCACTGTGTCTTCACTCTTTCTGTTCTATTATAATGACACTAGTCCCTAGGTGGCGTAATGGTTTATGTGCTTGCCTGCTAACTGAAAGGTTAGAGGTTAGATAGAGTCCACCCAGAGATGCCTCGGACTCCTGGTGTGGCTCTGTAGGATCAGTACTGGACTGCGAACCACTAGGTTGGCAGTTCAAACCCACCAACTACTCCTCAGAAACTCTGTGCAGGGTCGCTATGAGTCAAAATCGACTTGACGGCACTTAACATCAACAACAACAGAGGTGCCTCAGAAGAAACACCTGGCATTCTACTTTCCCCAAACCAGCCATTGAAAACCTTATGGGGCTCAGTTGTACTCTGACACACATGGGGACACTACAAGTCACAGTTGATACAACAGGAACTGGTTTTGGTTGCTTGTCACTTTACGTAAAGCCCACACTAATCCAAGATGATGTCATGTTGAGAGCCTTAACTTCATTACATCTACAATGACCCCCCCCCCCAAATAAACTCACATTCACAGGTTCTGGGGGACATACTTTTTTGGGGAGTAGCATTCAATTCACTACAGTCTTCAAGCGAAGGCACTAAGCATCGGCCCTTCTGCATCTGTGGGTGGGTGGTGTGGCATGTGCATTCTTTAGCCTCTTTTCTCTCACTGGAGGGAGAGCCTGGGGTGGGGGGAGGGTAAACAGAGGTCAGAGTTACAGCCTGCAGAGGGGAGGTCCAGTGCTGCCCGGAGGCCAGGGATCCCTCATGAGACTGGATCAGACAATTGCCTGGGTTCCAAGGCCAGTGTGGAGACAGCCCTCCACGAGCAGAGCGAGGAACACGGTTGGCCTGGAAGTGTTCCACAGGCTTGTCCTGCAGGTCTGAGGGGGACAGAAGCAAAGGGAGTGAGTTCCGGTCCCACTGGACTCTCTTGCTCCCTTGTTGCTCAGTGAATTCCTCTTCTCTGGAGGACCAGATGGGGTTGAGTCCAGTCCTGCTTCCTCAGGGTAGAGATGAATAAGGGCATGAGGCTCACCCCACCTACCACGCTAACGTGCACTGTGAGAGCCACCACCAAGGGCGTCACACTTTCGGAAAGCATTTTCTTCTAAAGGTGGTGCCTGGGGTACTTGACTCTTAAAGAACCTTGATCTCACCTTCCTTTCTGCTATTTGCATCCTTTATGTAAAGGTGGGCTAAAGCAAGAGCAGCTTGGCGTTTTCTAAAGCACCATGTGATTCCGTAGTATAGTAAGATTGTGGTTTTCTCTTAATGAGTTCAGTCACTTTCTAGAAAATCAACTTTACTGTCAGGCTGAACTCATAGCTTCCTGTTCGTTCCCCTCCCCCCAGCCTGTGTACAGGTACGTTTTTCTTGCGCTCTTTGTAGTATTCCTTGTCATGGTAATGTGTTTGTTCTAAGAGACTTGGGAAAGGTTGACTTCAAAGCCCTAAAACTCCTCCAGCCCCAAGATGCCATTTGCACACACTTCATACCAGACCAGAGTTTTTTCATGTTCTTTTTAAAACAGATTTCCTGACAAAAGCAACATGAAAGATTGTGTCTCTAATGGTAAAATGTGATTGAGAGTTGTATGGAGAATGGAATTTTCTCATAAAAATGATCTAGATGATTTATAATATTTTAAATCATTCTCTTAGCACTATTCTTTAGGCGTATCATGAATAACCAGGCTTTTGTGGGCCAGCTGGGAATGTAACAATTTTTAATGTAGACACTTTGAATGCATTTTCTTATAAAGTGCCACCTGAGAAAGTTATTATTGAAATGTTTCTTACTGACACTCAGAATGCATTTTCTCATACAATGTCACCTTAACAACGAACTTCCGATTTATATGTGTGTTTTCCAATTTGTGTCTGATGATATAAGCCAGCTTTGAGATTTCTTATGATTTTGAAATCTGTTGGCTTACAAATGTTAGTTATTTGGGTGAGATTTTGAGTCAAGTATGTCACGTGTGAAGCTGGCATGTTCTGAGGGTTTTAAAAAGTGCCTTAGAATTTCACTCAATTCACAATATAAAGTAAAAAACAAAAAATATAAAGTAAAAAAACAAAAGGCGTCTTGGAATAAGAAGGTTATGTGCATATAACCTTTAAATGTTTCTTTCTCCCTAGGTATGAAAACCTACAGAAGACATGCTCCATAGCTCTGGTCGGCAAATACAGCACGCTCAGGGACTGCTATGCCTCTGTGTTCAAGGCCCTGGAACACTCAGCCTTGGCCATCAATTACAAGTTGAATCTGATGGTGAGTCCCGGCCTGCCCTTCCAGATATTCTAGTTATTCACCGCAATATCTCATCTGTCACAGAGCAGATTGTGTCAGGGAGACTCAAGACCACCCCAGGTTTCAATGATTTGTTAGGAGGACTCCCAGGACCCAGCACTGGTCTAGTTGTACTCACAGCGGTGATTTATTATAGCAAAGGACACAGTGAAATCAGCAAAGGGAAAAGGCGTGTTAGACGAAATCTAGGGGAAACCAGTATTCTTTCCCCATGGAGTTGCACAGGATACGTTTCATTCCTCCAACAAGAACTGATAACCTGTGTGAAATGTTGTCTACCAGGGACGCTCCTTGGAGACTCAGTACTCAGGGTTTTGTTGGGAGCTCATCACACAGGCGCCCCCTACCTAACATGGTCCCAAGTTCCAGGCACCTACAAGGAAAGCAAATGTTCAGCATAAACCATCTTGCTTATACAAACAGTTAAAGCATACTGAACTACTCTGATCAGTTAATGGTGGGAATCTTCCTGAGATCCAAGTCCCCAGATGCCAAGACCAACCTTGCCAAGTAGCCCTTTTCAGTGGCACAATTTCTGAAATCAATCTTAGCATGTACTTCATACTAATTTAAGTGTACTGTGTTTAGCTAGCAAGAAAATAGCAGACACATAATTCACACACACACACAAAAAAACAGTTAAAAACACATCTCCCCTTTACTGTGAAGCATCAGGTTACCCTAATCCCTCAGAGGGGAATGTTAGGCAGTTAGATGAGGGAAGGACAGGCCAAACTGCAAAACGCCCAGAAGCACTGTAATAAATTAGCATTGCGGTTAGGTCATGAATACATTTATATAGCAAACTGAATTTCGGGAAAGGTGTTATTAAGACCCAAGTAAAGAAATACAAAAAAAGGAGATCATGCAGGGTTGGATAGCACACCCATCCCCAAACACTAATGAAGGCGCTGGGCTCAAACATCCAGAAACACTGCTGAAGTCACAGGAGGCCAAATCCCCTCCAACTAGTATCTGAAAGCCTAGTCTAAGTAATTAGCTGGGGCAACCATCTGGAAAGACCAACGAAGGCACTGGAAGTGAAACCCCGCCCCCAGCTAGTACAGGGTTCATCCACAGGGTAGCATGCACCAGTACTTCACTCCTTTTTTTTGGCCTGAATAATATTCCATTATGTGTATGTGCCACATTTTGTTTATCCGTTCACTAGCTGGTGGACATTTGGGTATTTTCAACTTTTGGCTGTTGTGAATAGTGTTCAGTGCTTATCGTATTGTTTTGTTTTGTTCTAATTTTAAAATTTATTGTGGTAAAACATATATAACACAGAATTTGCTATTCCCCATGTGGTACAACTGTCACCGTTATCTATTTCCAAAACATTTTCACCCCAAACAGAAGCTTCCGATTTTTCCCTCCCTCCAGCCTCTGGAAGGAGCCCTAGGGGTGCAATGGTTAAGTCCTTGGCTTTGAACTCACCAATGGCTCCTTGGGAGAAAGATCTGGTGATCTGCTCCCATAAAGATTACAGTCTCGGAAACCCCATCTGCCCTATAGTGCCGCTGTGAGTTGAAATTGACTCAGTTCTGCATCTAGGCGATGCCTGCAGCATATTTGCTTCTTTCATGTATGTTAGATCCAGGTTTCTGGTGGACTAACCAGATGAATTCAGTTCTTCAAGCAAGAGTCATGTCCTTTTGCAGCCCAGCTTGTGTCCGTGTATATCTGGCCTGCCTGTCTCCATAGTCCACAACAAGTGATCTGCTTAAAGTAGCCAGAACTCTGTTCCTGTCACTCCCTTACTTAAGACATTCCGCTGGCTTCAAGTGCAAACTCTGTATCGTGGCTTCTCCCTTCCCCTGTTCCCTCCCAGCCAAGCAAGTCTGTCCACTAGCTGGTGGAACCTCTTTTTGCCATATGAAAGGTTGGAAAGGTTGTGAGAACCACAAGAAAGAAGAGATTGCGTTTTTCTATCCCCAGTGCCTAGGACAGTGTTTGCCTTCATCAGTAGCTGTTGAATGATACAGTGTTAGATGGGGCCAGGATTATGAAATGTTTTTTAAATGAAATGGTTTTGAATCTGTTGGATTTTTTAGTACATAGACTCCATTGACCTGGAGCAGACCACTGAAAATGAGGACCCTATGAAATTCCATGAAGCGTGGCAGAAGATATGCAAAGCCGAGTGAGTACCAGAGATAGCCCACTACACACCAGGGGGATGCCAGTGTGCTTTGGTCATAATGATTCCAGTGCATTCGGGCCACATTCACTTTGAAACTTGCGTTGTAATGCCAGTCGCATGTGGGCTGGAAATGGGCTTATTTAGGGAGGAGGGGAATATGGCATGCGAGAGAAGCTTTAGCATAGGAGGTCTGATTCTACTGAAAGACTTACAGCTGGTTTTACATAGAAAAAGCTAAAGTACAAGCTTGAGAACCCTTCCCTCTTGAGTGAATTTTCATTGCCTTTGCTGCTAGGTTTTATGTTGTAAGTAACTAGCAGAACACCAGGGGGCAGCATTGTATCACGAAGGTGGCATCTTCTTGAATTCTTCCAGTCCAGGGAGTGTTTGCCTCGAAAACCTCTCAGGTGTTTTGTAGCTGAGTAATTTTCACTCTCCACTATTTAACTGGCAATTGGAATCTGAGATTGAGTTTACCAATTGAATTCTTTCTGATTATTAACAGATGTTAACATTTTTATAATAGTGCTTTTTAAAAAAATGTTTTTATTGTGGATTGAGTGAAAGTTTACAGGGCAGATCATCAGTTTTACATTAAAAAAAAATCAGACACCTTGTTTCATTACAATGATTACAACCTCCTCCATGTACCATCAGTTAACAGCATTTCTATTTACTTTAGCTCTTTTTTTTTTTTTTAAACACTCAGGTATATGCAATAATTTACACCACCAAAGAGCACGTTCTGCAAGTCTGCGTCCTTGCCATCAGCTCTCAGTCCCTCTCTTTCCATGAATCTAGAGTCCTCAGCTTCTCCCTCTCTCCATGTCCCCATCTCTGCCTCCATCTCTGGTGTCGCTGCTTCTCTGGATAAGGTCCCGCATTCCGCCTGTTATCTTCTCCCCTGATGGTCCCAGGGTCCTCTGTTTCAGGACTGTAAGATTAACTTACTCCCCTGTTTTTGTTACAAAACTTCTACCTTTACAATTGTGATAATCGCAATTAGTCATGATAACAATTACTCACTATTGAATC